AGGGAGAGAGGATCTGGGGGAGGAGGCATGGGACGAAGGAGGAGAAGAAGAGGGTGAGTCACCGTCAAATTCAGTCGCCGAGCTTCACCGCCGCCGCCGCCACCGCACATGCACCTAGGGTTTCGTCGAGCAAAGGAGCACAAGCTCCCTAGCGGGAGAGGGAGGGGGCCGCCGAGCCCCTCCCGTGGCGGCGCATCGCCCGCAGGGCGCCGTCGCCTGGCACCTGCCACCGCCTGGCACCTGCCGCCGCATCGCGCCTACCGTAGCATCGGGAGGGAAGGGGAGGAAGAAACATAGGTGAGAGGCAGGCGAGGGAGGGCGGAGGAGGAGGACAGCCGTCGTCGCCGCCGCGGCCGTCTCGCACCCGTCGCCCCTGCTTGCGTCGGGACGGAGAGGGAGAGACGGACGGGGAGAGAGAGGAGGGAAGAATCTGCAAGGAGAAGCTGGAGCCGAGTATATATTTGTTCCACCGGATTCGCATGACAAGGCGCAGAAGCTAGCAAAATGAACCCAGAGCGACGAGGAGCCGGCAGAAGTTGATTCCAACAGAAGCGGCTACGAGCAATCTGGGCCACACGATGGAGGATCGGACGGCCAGGAGAATTCGAGGCAATATGGATACCCTGAGAGGCGGCCAAAATAACTTTGATATATTAGAATGACCCGGCTAGGTAGGCGGCTAGCTAAGCTCGTGATGGGCGAGCGCGGTTGGTGGACAAGCCGTGGATCGGTGATTAGTATGACAAGCCGTGGATCAGATCAGATATTTCGCCAATGGCGGTCGCGGCGGCAGTGGATCGGCGGCAGCGGGGCTTTTTTTTATATATATGCAATTGATCAGGGCAAGTGGTCACGGGTGACATGCAGATAATCATGCATGGAGTTGATTTGTGTCAGTAGTCACATACAGTGCAATTGGGCCAACAATCAGTGCTGTGGTGAATGGTGATGCTGCTGCTGCTGCTGCACTTTGCACTGTACGCAGTCGGCAGTTCCTACCAGCAATTCAGCACAGGCGAAACTGCTCACAGTGGCCAAATGTGTTGGCTTCTTCATCAGGTAGGTAGGTTCAACAATAGATAAACACAGACGAACTTGCTCCTGAATATAACGAGAACTACATACCGTTCAAAACTTTTGTGTCGCGACACAATTCGTACCATTTTCTCGTATTTAAAAAGCAAGTTACATGCTACTCCTGCTCCTTGCGAGCACATAATAGTTGATGATGTCACACTAGAGTGACTCGTCTGCACAATTATTAATTTGTTTCTTCAGTTGCCATTGGCTTCGATCTACTACTAGATGTCTCTTCCTCTTCGTGTTAACGAACATGTGAAATGGCACACATCTCATGTTCATGTTTACTCCAATACTCCCGGCCTCCGTAAAAAAAATACAATTTTTTGTTTTATGAGAAATCAAACAATTTAAAATTGATCAAATCTATATACAAATAATAATATTATGATACATAAATATCATTATATTAATTATAAATATATTTTTATAATAAACTTCTTTGAAAATATAAATGCTGATATATTTTTGAGCCCTTTTACAATGGTTGGAAATGCTTTATAACGCTTCCTAATGCCTATCCAAAATAGCTATTTTTATTGCTTTATTCATTCAAAATCCGCCGCCCTGCCCTTGCCCCCGCTGGAATTATTTCACCATCGAACTCGCCAGAAACGAGGACGGCAACGAAGACGACGACGAGTTCCTGCCACTGGAGATCCAGGACGACGACGAGGACAGCGACTTCCTCCGATCTGTCTCCCTCAACCGGCATCCTTCTCCGGCTATGTCTACATCGACAGAGAGCCGGCCTCTGCCTCCGTCCCTTCTCCTGCGGCAAGCTCGCAACAACCCTCCAGAAGGTACCGATTAGAATTAATCTCGTTCTTCTCTTATTGCGTGCAGGGCCAATTTGAGTATTGTTATGTGTATATCTAAAAGCCCACAGATCTGCTATTTTATTTTTGTGGTTCAGTACTAGAAGCTTTAGTGATTAACCTTTAGAGAAATTAGCGGATGATGCATCTAATGTAGTTCTGTAGTAAGCTGATGTCCATTGGTTCCAGTGGCCCGGTGGATTTGACCACAAATCATGAAAACATGCCCAATTTAATTTGGTTCAGTGCTTCACATCCTTTTTCTGAACCCATTGTCCCAATATTACAGATCTGAGTGCCATGATTGTGAAGGGTTGTACAGCAATAGCTGCTCGCCATGTTGTTTGCTGCTGCAGTTCGCACCTTGCAAGACTGCAACATTGAGGGTAAGATGTAGTCTACCTTACATGTAGCAGCCACATAGTATTGTCAAAATGAAAAATTTTGAGATAAGACCTTTCATTGCATATGGGAGGTGATTATTTCATGCCACAAGTTATTGTCTAGTGCAGGTGGCCATCACCATGCTCAATATAAAATTCAGGTCATAGATTGCTCTATTTCTGTTCCTGGAACTACTGTGTTTTGCAGCAGTGTATGAAAGTAATTAGTATCTGCTGATCCGTCTATTTTTGCAATGATTAACAATCATATATCTGTTCCTGGTGCTTAATCATAGTTTTTTCTATTTCTAGCTTTTTTTTGGGGGGACACAAGTGATTTCTCGGATGACAGAGGGTGGTTTCTTATATTCTTATGTTTGTTTGGGGATGGAAACAGTGCTCAGTCACTTTTCCAAATTAGGCCTAAATATTTGTCCGTAAAAATGAACTCATAAAAGGTACAAATTTGTCATACTTTCCATTTCCATTGTTTTTTTTTTCAAATTTGTCTTCCAAAGTAGATAATGAATCCGTTTCGGGCAATTCCTATAATGTTGTTCAGCAGTACTTGAACGTCTTGTTTTTTTGAAATTCCTATAAATATACAAAAAAAATTCAAAATAAAATTAAAAAAATGATATTAGAATGTATCTCGGCCTGTTAGGGCGTCATTATTCTTTTTAGTCTCTAGGCTCTGGATGCAGGAGAAAAAAAAACATCCAAAAATTGGCGTGCAAAATGTGGTGCACAAGGATTTGAACCTGCAAGGTGCTGCTCCTAAACCAAGTTAGCTTACCACTCGGGCAGTCCCTAGTTGATGCATATAGAGCGTTGTTACTTTTTTTCTCTCCACAGTCTGTATGCAGGGGTAAAAACATCAAAAATTATGTTTGAATTTCAAATTGTTCAAACAAAGTCGGGTGGAGAAATAATCAAAATAAAAGTTATAGATCTCGATGAGTTGTACAACTTTGGTGTTGCTGACTTTTCCATTTGAAATCATTTACTGCCTCAAAATTCTGTTTGAAGTTCTCGAATTTTTAAATTCAAATTTTTAAATTGTTCAAACGAACTCATATGAAGAAAGGACCTAAATCAAAGTTGTAGATCTCGATGGGGTCTGCAATTTTGCAATTGAGTACATTTTCAATTGAAATTCTACATTTTTTGCTAGGAATAATTCATCCTTCTATTCCTAAATTAACATAAAATAATGTAATACTTCTAAATTCTGTCAAAAAAATTCTACAAATTTGCATGGTTTTGTTACATAATCGTTAGATAAAAAAACTCAAATGATTTTAACAAAGTGACAACACACGTCGTTCATGATTTAATACATCTTCTCATATAGTTATATGGGAAGAGTATGAAGATGTATCCAATTGTGAACATTTGTACCACCACTTTGTTAGGCCTTTAGTCCACTTAGACGAGACATGATAGTAATCAGTCCAATTAACCAAGAGATATATTGCTTATAAAAAAGTCTATATTAGTTAACTGAGAGATGTAATACGTATTAAAAAAAGTCCATAGGAAAAACAAAAAAAATAAAAAAAATACAGTAGAGAGGGTCGAACCCATGCGGCCTTGCCCTTTGCGGCTACACTTGAAACATTTACCAACCGACCTATATAAGGCTGTTTGTTTGAGTGGAAGTTTTACGATATTTATATTATATAGTTGCGTCTGCTCAGCGCCTGATTTATAGAATAGAATTTGAAATATTTTTTTTATTTCCATGTGAGTAGTATAGAACTACACTACACATAGGATTTTTGGAAAAAAAAATGAAGCTCACATTCACGTGCATGAGAATAGGAGAACACCGGACAGCTATCTAATTTTGGGCCGGCCCAATGTGCAAAGCAGCAGCACCGCATCTTGCCTGCTAGTGCCAGCTTTGCTCCTAGAGGAAGAGGCAATAGTCCCACCTTGCCAATGCAAATAAGAAGGCAGATGCCATATTCTTGTATAAGAAGATAAAAGCTAGCATATATTCGTTGAACTGAGTACGAAATAGTCCCACCTCGCCTCGACAAACAGAAAAACAAATTGTTGTCATTAGAAAGGAAGTACTGATCAGCGGAGAGGACGACACAATTAGAAATTATCCTTCTCAACTATCATTATTGAACCAATCATTATTCAACCTGATGACACATGGACCAAGCTAGAAAGTGCTTGGTCATACTTCTGCCTATTCTTTTAACCATATGCACTCAGTTCAGTCCCAAACCCAAAAACTTCTGACGATAAGCTCCAAGACCATTCCCACAGCAATTGAAAAGATGCAAAAGTTCCCAATGGCAGTGAGAACCTGGATAGTGAAAGAACAGATGTTCATCACGTCATAAATTTACCAATGAATTAATCTGTCGACAACAAAGGAGCAATCGAAATGTGATCAGCAAGTATGCTAGCTACTGAACCTTTTGCACTCAGGATGAAGCTGCTGATAAAAGAGAGAAGATAATGCCAACCGAAAACTGTAAAATGACAGTAAAGTTAGTAAATGGGCTGCTAGATAGAATAAGTAAGTTTGCAGGCTTCAGACAACCCACACTGTTGCTCTGACTACTAAGTAACAGTCACATGCAGTTTGGTTCCTTTGGCCCTGTTTGACTGCTGGTTTCTGCACTGTTAGACAACCATCGTATAGTATTTTCTGTCTAAGAGCATGTCCCGTTGAAGCATGATGTTGGTATCCATTTTGTCATGTTCCTCCTTTGAGTGCACGGCCCAAGGATGCACGCTCTTCTCTCAGCTTGATGTCCATTTCAGTACGGTGAAGCATAACCACACTATCCATTTCTTCACGCTCATGCTTCATCCTCTGTTCGAGCTCGTCATGCTCCTGCCGCGACTCTGCATCCATAGGTCCTGCAATATTCAACATATCACTTCGTCCAATTAGAACATTGCAGTACACTTTGACATACACTGACGATCGGCCGCACATAATGCTTGGCCAGATATTTGGCCGATTTTTTTCTCCAAAATCAAAAAAAATGGACAGCAGGTAATTTATAATATACTTGATGTGTGGCATAACTCAATTATTAAATGCAGGTCTGACAAAAGACAATTCACATTTCAAAATCTCAATTGATAAACAGATATCCTACTGTCTGATCCTCAGCAGGGACAGAACATCAGATATCTAGCAGCTAGTTTCCTTCGTGAGATCAACTGAATTTAATTACACAGGCTAACCAACCAGAGTACATGATAGTCACGGCAGATCAAATATGGTTGAGATCAATTTAATCGGCCAACACAAGACAATACCGCAACAGCACAGGAAGTTAGAACAGAGTACACCCTAGCTACAGACTGAGCCTTATTTACAAGGAACAAAGGTGTACATCATCTCAGTTACTTTGGACATTATGCAAAAACATTGATCAGTTTCCTTTCAGAAGAATCACCAACTATATATGCGATGCTGTGACTAATGAAAGAAACAAATTGTTGTCATTAGAAAGGAAGTACTGATCAGCAGAGAGGATGGCAGAATTAGAAAGTATCCTTCTCAACTATCATTATTGAACCAATCAGCAAAAAGAAAGGTATGCTTCCATGAAAGTGAAAGACACTTCCATAAAAAATGAAGACCTGTCACTGCACATTTTTATAAGTTATCTCTAGCTAATGCACTGAATACTATAATCACCAAAAGCAGCCCTTGCAAAAATTCATGAATCATACTACCATAGCAAATAAAATTACTCACACATACCACATACACACAGAAAAGTAATCTTCACAACCTAGCAGCTGCAAGCGTGGCTTGTCCCAAGCCCCAACCGTGGATCAGGTTTTTGCAGCATTTTGCAACAGTACTTTAATTTTAAAGTTTAAAGCCCTTACTGCATCCTGTGTTTGTAAAATCCAAAGGCTGGGAATTCCTTATAACAAGTTAAAAAGGGTCTAAAGTAACAATATAACATTAAATTGTGCCTTTACAGAATTATCCCTTTAGACTTTCACAAATGTACACCAATACTTCAGGATATTTTCCCATTTTGTTAACGAACATCAGCTAGTAAAACACACAATTTAACTGTGATTTCAGGATAGCAAACATTTCTAGCCCACACACTTACCCACTAATTCCTGATTGCTTACACAGGATAACAAAATCATATAGGTTGCAAAAGAGATGACGACCATAATATGTCGAACCTCGCTTAAACGGATCAGGCCTGAACTCAAATTCCTCATCTTTCCATTCGTCGTCGTCGTCCTTATCCTCCTCCATTTGGATGTTGCGTGACACATTAGCAAGCTTATCACTCAAAACCACCCATCAACCCTGAGCTTCTCCTGTTGCCAGATGCAGCAAACCCAGGGACTGCTGGTAATTAGAGACTAACTGAATATTGCAAATTCATGAGAGTATAAGCACATAAGCAATTAGTAGTAATGTCGAATCAAAGGGCTCAATCAATGATGCACAGATCAGTAGATCACGCAGATCCAGGAGATCTAGGAGACGGAGGTGGGGGCGAGGACGGTGGCGGTGGGGGGTGAGGACGGCGACAGCGGTGGAGACGAGGAAGAAGTCGACCGAGGTGGAGCCGGATCAGGTCTTCGGGCGCTCCGGGCGCCGGGGAACACGCCATGGTGGAAGGGGAAATGCGAGCACGACAGCAAGGGAGGGGGTGGAATTGGAGATGAACGGGCAGACCTATGCACACACCAACAGCCACCAGAGCGGCGCCGTTGTCAAACTCGCCTCTGCCGCCGCCTTCATCACCTCCTCCTTCACGCAAGGCTCCAATCCCATGGCACCTGGCATCCCGTGGAACCGGATCTCTGCGGAGACTCCGTGATGTCAGGCCGCAACTGCCGCCGCCCTGCCTTCGCCCTCATCCTCATCCTACCCTCGGCGGACGGCGGCGGCGGTGGACGGATGGACGGCGGCAAAGACAAAGACGTAGAATGAACTCATGAACAAAATATTCATCTAACTATACTACTTATTATCCTGGTTCAACTCCTTGGGACGGCCGCCGCCGCTGTGACCCGGAGCGCAGTCGCCGCCGCGGCCTCCATGTGCTCGGTTGGGGAGCTGAGGGCTGGTGAGGAGGGGTCGGGCCCGGATCTCGCCGGAGACGATGCAGGAGCGGCGCAGCGCGTCGAGGTCCTCCCGCGGACGGACGGCGGACGGCGGCGGCGAATGAACCCTAAGAGACAAAAATATTCATTTTTTTAAAAAAAGCAAATATTCATATAACTATAGTATTTAAATCATACGTCCCAACTATACTACTCAAAATATTATTTTTATAATTGTGGATTCACCGTTTTACCCTTGATTAAAAAAATAACTACGAAAAAGAAATTGTCCCTCTTTTATTTGAAGTCCTAATCACGAGGCGTTTACAAGCATATTTAAATGACCATGAACACATCCAACGCCTCGGCGTCTCCTCATTAACGCTTTCTCTCAACGCCTTCATATGGCCCCACCTAATCATCATCGTTAACCGCCTAACGCTTCCTGACGCCTCCCCAACCATAGTAAAAAAGTTCTATATTTTTTTATAAACTTGCTTGATTAAACTTAAATTTTTTTGACTTGTTCCAAACCTATAATTACAAATCTTTATGGAATGGAGGGAGTAAAATACAAGATTGATTCTAATAGAGTGCTTATATACCTTTTTAAAAGCAAGATTAATCCGTGTGTGCTAATTTTATGCTCATTTTAACTATCTCACTTCAGGGCATGCTAATTAAGTTTGGTTGATCATCAAAAGATTTTCTAAACCCAAGTGACACCAATAAGTCAACGAAGCGATGCAACTGATTCATTAGCGCTATGGAGCCTGAAGTCTAAAACAGCCTTAAAAGAACACCACAACTGAAAAACACTAGTACTCATGAACCAGAGGAACCTGTATGAAGTCAATTGGAGCTTGCCATGTAACACGCTCCAGGTATGGATTAAAGGTCGAAGCTTTTCACAGACCTTTTCTGAAGATACCTGGAGCGAAAATCTTCAATTCGCAAGATTGTGAATCCAGGAAACGCCAAGAAGACCCTTTGAATTTGTAAACCTGCTCCTGCTTTTCTGGGACTGGGAGTCTGCTAGACTGGGAGTACAGTGATCCAATTGGTATACATGAAACGTAATATTTGAAGCAGTAAATAAGTAAGCACGCATGGAGGCTCGCCGCAAAATTGTTAAGGCTGGTTTGGATTGGCCAGTCAAGCAATTCTGGCCCTACACATCTAAAACAATATTTTAATTCTCCGTCTTTGTCATTACAAAAGATAACCTTAAGTAACCTCCTATTTTTTTCAATCTAAATTGGCCACCTATGGCATTATTAAAAATAATCCGCGATAACCCCAAAATTAGCGTCTAAGATTAGACACTCTTTAAAGACATCCGATGATTTACCCATCTTTATCAGTATGAATAACCCTTGGAATCCTAAGATATTTTTGAATTAATTACATATGTCATTATTAAAAACTAAAAATCATTCCAAGTTACCATTTTATGTCATTTTAGTATAAGGATACACGTCAGTATGTAGACAATGTGTATTCTTTCCGTCTCTTTTTAACTATCGTTCTTTGACTAACTATATATAAAAATATTAATATTTATAGTATATAATTAGTATTATTAGATAGACTGTTGAATTTATTTTCATAATAAACTTATTCTGAGATACAAATGTTGCTAATATTTTCTCCAAGTCTAGCCAAATTTAAGAAAGTTCGACCAGAATAAATACCATAATGATACTTGAAAAGGGGCAAAGGGAAGATATATGAATGTAAGAAGCAATAATCACATTGATTCCATGTCAAATATATAACTCAAGCTAATATTTCAACAAAATACATGATAATACACATGGAGGAGCAATACAAATGAGATGACTACGAATGAGAGTAAAAGTATATAGATTAAATGGTAGCTAGGGTATATCCAAAAACCAGTAAAGAAAATTATCTATATGAGCATCGTGTTAGAGTATGAACATGTGGGGGAGAGGAGATAGGAAATTTTGATCAAGTGTGGGCCATCAAATTTATCTATGAATTATTAATGCCTTAGCGTTACTAGCATGGGTTAACGTTGTTAACTTCTAAAATCAGGCGCTGATGAGTCAGCATCACAATTCTTCAAAGGGAATAACTCCGCCCGTAGGCCCGTATCTCGACGCAGCTCCACCACACCCTGTCCGGTCCCCCACGTAACAGAGCCCCCGCCGCGCCTGCGTGACAGGGGAGCCCATCCACTCACCACACCCAGGGGGTCTCAACCACGTCGTGCTCACGTCACCTCTATCGCCAGGTTCTTCATCTCCGTCGCGCGGGAAGATGCCAGAAGCTTCTGCTCCAGGACCTCCAGCAGGGCTAGCGGAGGCAGCATGTCGTGCGGGAACGTGCCGCGTGCGCCAGCGCGGACGCCTGTGCTTCCTCCGATGGAGGGCTGGCGCCAGCTTACAGCAGACGCCGCCATGGCTCCCCGCACTAGCTCTCTCTTCCTCGCTATACTGCCCTACGTTGATGAAACAATTGCAACATATGGTTGAAACAGATGAAACATTTGGAACATAGTCAATGTAACATATGCAACATCTAGATAGAACACTTACAACATACGTCTGAAACAGATGAAACATATGGAACATGTTGTTGCAACATATGTGTGAAAAATATGCAAACATCCAAATCAAAACGTTGCAACGTACGTCTATTCCAACCGTCGGATCGGAGCCGGCGGCGAGCGGCGGCGCATGAGCACCACTAGCACCCAACAGCAGCGGCGCGTGCGAGCACCACCAGCAGCCAGCTCACCAGCACTGGCCTTGGCTCAGCCTAGCGAGCGGCGTGTGCTACGAGAGGGAGCAGGAGGCGCGATGCACGACCCGAGCGAGGAGCGAGGTGCGGGCGGGGCGCGCGACGGGCAGGGGTAAGGAGCAAGGAGGGAGCGGCACAGTGTGATAAAGTGGTGGGAAGATGGCCGAGCGAAGTGAGCTAGCGGTGTCTAAATAAGAATAAGAGACGGAGGAAGTCAGTGTTACGGTGCATGTCACGCCATGCGTCCGTCCAGAGCGAGTCGCTGACGTCCACGGTCCTGTTGGTAGCATTTTCGTTCTTCAAAAGAACAAACAGGACAAGTATGCACAGAGCAAGGTTTGGTCACTAGTAGTCACTCAATTCGGATCCCAATAGCAACCTAAGCAAGTGGTAACTGGTGTCTGTGACACTGATCTCGCATTTGGCGGCGCAGCCTGACACAGCTCGCCGCCGCCTTCCCCCCGTTCCTCTTCTGCCCACTGCTCCTCGCATACTTGCCACTCACCTTGCCATCCTGACTCCTACTCGTCGCGGCGACCAAGGGTCCCGTCACGCCATTGAGTAACGTCTCGCCATCCCAGTCAGGCAGTGAGAGTAAGGGCGAGGAAGAGCAGATGACGATCACCTCATCCGTCAAGCTCGTTGGAGGCACGCTGTCAGTCTACGGCCGGGCGGTCCTGTCCGGCGTGCCCGCAGCCGTAGCGGCGTCCTCTGCTGCAGCGGGTGGAGCAGTCGACGGGGTCTTCCTCGGCGCCGACCTCGACGAGTCAGCCTCCCGCCGCGTCGTCTCCCTCGGCGCCTTACGGTCTGGTGTCGACCCTGAGAACACGAGGAAAATGCGAATTTTTTATCCATTCCGTTCCTGATGTGAAGTCTGCGATTATGGTGCAGGGACGTACGGTTCATGGCATGTTTCCGGAGCAAGCTGTGGTGGATGTCGCAGCGGATGGGGGACAAGGGCGGCGACGTGCCACACGAGACGCAATTCCTGCTCGTGGAGTCCAGGGGCGCCGGCGCCGGCGGCGAGGACGCGGCGTACGTCGTGTTCCTCCCGCTCGTGGAGGGTGCGTTCCGTGCCAGCCTCCAGGGCGGCGCGGGCGATGAGCTGGAGCTCTGCGTCGAGAGCGGGGACGCCTGCACGCGCGCTCTTCGTGGGCGCCGAGGAGTCCGGTCCCTTCGCGGCCATCGCTGGCGCCGTCGCCGCGGCCAAGTACGCCCTCAAGACGCTCCGGGTCCGCGCCGAGAAGAAGCTCCCGGGCATCGTCGACTACTTTGGCTGGCTGGTGCACCTGGGACGCCTTCTACCAGGACGTCACGCAGGAGGGCGTCGAGTCCGGGCTCCGCAGCCTCGTCGCCAGCGGCGCGCCGCCCAAGTTCGTCATAATAGACGACGGCTGGCAGTCTGTAGGCACGGACCAACCCAATTGCGACGACCCAGCAGGAGAGGCCAAGCAGCCACGCTTGCCCCGGCTCACGGGAAGGGAGAATAGCAAGTTCCAGAGCCACGACGACCCGGCCGCCGGCATCAGGACGGTGGTGCGCGCGGCGAAGGAAGAGTACGGCCTCAAGTACGTCTTCGTCTGGCACGCCATCACCGGCTACTGGGGCGGTGTCCGTCCAGGCGCCGCCAGCATGGAGCAGTACGTCTCCAGCATGCAGTTCCCCGAGATCTCGCCGGGCGTTGCCGAGAACGACCCCGGCATGAAGACCGACTGGATCACCGCCCAGGGCGTCGGCCTCATGCACCCGCGCGCCGTGTACCGCTTCTACGACGAGCAGCACGCGTACCTCGCCGCCGCCGGTGTCGACGGCATCAAGGTGGACGAGCAGTGCATCCTGGAGACGCTCGGCGCCGGCCACGGCGGCCGCGCGCAGCTCACGAGACAATACCACCAGGCGCTCGACGCCTCCGTCGCCAAGAACTTCCCGGAGAACGGCGTCATCGCCTGGATGAGCCACAACACCGACGCCCTCTACTGGTACGCTCCTCCCATCGTCCTAACCGTGAACGTGAAGTTCATAGCGAATCTGTTGACCAATTTGGTCGTGTGGTGCGACGTGACAAATCGCCAGCTCGAAGCAGACGGCGGCGGTGCGAGCGTCGGATGACTTCTTCCCAAGGGACCCCGCGTCGCACACGGTCCACATCGCCGCGGTGGCGTACAACAGCGTGTTCCTCGGCGAGTTCATGCTCCCGGACTGGGACATGTTCCACTCCCTCCACCCGGCCGGCGAGTACCATGGCTCGGCCCGTGCGATCAGCGGCGGCCCTGTCTATGTCAGGTCGCGATCAGTTTGCTCACCATACTCCCTTCCTATGTTCAGTGGAATTGGTAGCTGAATTGTGTTCTTGGTGATGGATTTGCAGTGACGCCCCCGGCAAGCACGACTTCGAGCTGCTGAAGAAGATCGTCTTGCCGGACGGCTCCGTGCTCCGTGCGCGTCTGCCTGGCAGGCCGACCAAGGACTGCCTGTTCACCGACCCGGCACGTGACGGTGTCAGGTAAGCTCGATCACCCTTCGCTTGCTCAAGATTTGGAACATGAACAAGTTCGCGGAGAAGAAGATCATGTTCCGCCCGGCCGGCGCCGACTCCCTGACCTGCGGCATCAGGGCTAACGACGTCCACCTCATCTCCGAGGCGGCGACGGGCGCCGAGTGGAACGGCGACTGCGCCGTGTACCGCCATGCCAGCGGCGACCTCGTCGTCCTCCCCAGCGGCGCGGCACTGCCCGTCTCCCTCAAGGTCCTCGAGCAAGACATCCTCACCGTCTCGCCGGTCAAGGTCAGCGCTCGATGTCTCCGATCACTGTCGCCATGACCAATCTGATGCTAGTTTTGAACTCAAGAATTGGCACCTGTAATAAACTAACTGATGATGCATCGCAGGAGTTGGCACCCGGGTTCAGGTTCGCTCCGATCGGGCTCGTCGACATGTTCAACAGCGGCGCGGCGGTGGAAGGCCTGACGTACCACCTCCTCGACGGCGCAAAGCTGCTCGGCGACGACGGGCCTGCTTCTAGCTCGGACGCCACCGGATTGGTGTGCGTGGAAGTGAGGGGGTGTGGCAGGTTCGGTGCCTACTCCTCGGTCAGGCCGAGGAGATGTTTGCTGGGCTCTGCGCAGATGGAGTTCACCTATGATTCTTCCACCGGCCTTGTTGTTTTGCAGCTGGAGGCGATGCCCAAGGAGAGGGTTCACAGGATTGTCGACTTGTAATGCGTTGTTTCACCAGGAATTCAGAGTATCAAAGTACGAGGAGAAACTCTTCTCAGAAGTTGAGATTACACCGTACCTTAAGTCAGGTTGGGTAGCGATAGCACATGCAGAAATGCACAAGCTCTAAGATAAGCGTGGTGTCGTTCATTGGATCGGATTAAGAAATGAAATCGCAAGGGATCAGCACTTCCGCATCCGGTGGTTTACCATTACGAATCTGAATACATGCACACATGCTGAGTGATCATACGAAGCTTAGTCTTATTATTGCCGTACTCGAAACATGTACGGCTACTCCCATGCATTTCTCTACTCTGTAACTAAATCGCTCCAAAAGTCCTCGTCAACTGGGTCTCGCAAAAAAAAAAAAAAAAAAAAAAAACTTGGCAGCATGAACCGACGTCCGAATTTGTGCATAAGGGCAATCAATTTTCCCCCCGCCTGGGTGCACCCCCGCCCACTCCTCCAATCGGCAAATTACACATTCAGAACCAATACTATTGTACCATTTTAGTTCATCCACCATCCCTATCGTCCTCACCTACGCCACACTACACATGCCCACCTTACCCGCGTAGGCACATAGCGCTACATCATGCTTGCCCTGCTACCCCATGCCTATGGCCTGCCTATGTTGCATCATCGGTGTAATGTCACACCCACGTTGCCACGCTAGGCCATGTCGTGCCTGCTGCGATGCTTACGTCGTGTGGTACATTGACCCTACTGCACTGCAACGATGGCCCTTTTGTTGTCGAGGGAGGTGAGGAAGGCTGAGAGAGTAAGGAACTAAATGTGAGAGGATAGCGAGAATGAGCATGAGTTCCCGGTCGACGGGGAAAGAGGACATGGTGAGGTGGAGCAAGCAGCGAGTCAAGCGGAATCAAGTAAGACCGCGGCAGGGAAGGCTCGGCTAGGACGTGCAATAGAGCAAGCACGACAAGGGCGACCAAGCGGCGTAGTAGGTCATAGGAAACTATGCATATCCCACTCGAGCTCCCGCCGCACATCTCATCCTCGTGTGTTACACCACTGTGGGTGGACAAACGTGGTGCAACATGATATGGCCGCATGAGTGTGGTGGGCACATGCCAGTGTAAGGGAAGGGGAGACTGGGACAGTACATTAAAGTCTAGAGAGCTGAGTGTGTATTTTAAAAATATTAGAACAGAGAATTTAGGATAAGTTTAGAAAGCTAAATGCGTAGCTTAAAAGTACTGGGACCTGAATAAGAACTTGAAAAAAGTATAAGAAGATGAATATACAATTTGGAAGTATCAAGACAGTCCATAAGAACTCGAGACAAATTCGAGGACCACCAGTGAAATTTATTTAGTCCTTAAAAAAATAGGACAAAATCACAATTTACCTTCAAAACAAGGGCATGGAAGCGAAAGCCCCTTAATGTTTGAAGAAGCTTGATTGTCAAAGCTAAATAAGTAAACATATTGGCCTGACCAGCTTTGTATACGAGGGCATGAAAGCGAAAGCCCCTTAATGTTTGAAGAAGCTTGATTGCCAAAGCTAAATAAGTAAACATATTGGTCTGACCAGCTTTGTATAGCACACGGATATAAGTTCATTAATATTGTGTGGTTAGTTAAGAGATCGTATTATTTACGCTGGCTGTGAGTTTATTTAATTGCAAAAAACATTTTCACCATCTTTTTGCATGGCAAAACTTTTTTCCTTTGGTCCTGCTGCTTGATCCGGGTGCAATGAAATATCTTATTTCTGTCATTTCCACATACATAGTGCAACCTTTTCTTCTTTTGATATCCTTTCTGATTTCACCTTTGTGTTTTTAGCAATGGAGTCTCCAGATCAGGAAAGCAAAGCCGACTCCAACCCTGATAACTTATGAGTCAATCAGGCACTTCTTGTCCTACTATGCATTGTATACTCCAAAATAAATACTCTGGATTCAACTGCTTTTTGTAACATATAAGAACAAACACTGCATTGTAGGCATACCCTTGGCTATTTTGTTGCCGGACCTTACACATAAGATGGCCAACGGTTTAAAAACGATCAGCAATTGTTGGGTTTCTAGTAGTGATTTACGATGTTCTCTGATACTGCATCATCCTCTGCATTTAGATCAAATGGAAACACGCACTTCCCACCACTGCTTGAGCTTCCAGCCATCGGTTTATTGCTAGTGCCATCATTCACAAAGGAAGCTGAAAGGGAATGCACCTTAGATGATAACCTTCCATTGTAGGCATTCTCGTATAAACCAGAGTTCATAGACATATCCAATTTAATTTTCTTATGCTCGGGTACTTCATCAGCTACATTGGCCATCCGAAAACTTCTTTTATCTGCACCACCTGATGCATGTGAACGATCCAGTGCACCTGCGCTAACCTCACAGGTATTAACATGGTCTATATCCATGAGGTTGTCTGCATCGTTAAGGTTGATGGTTGTGCTCACCATGCCAGGTTCTTTAATCAAACAAGTAAAAAAAATTACAAAAACATGGGTGATAAATAATTAACTCCTACTTACTAATATGATTGGGAACAATGTTAGTTACCTTCCTGAATATGGGTTAAGGAGACAGAACAAGTAACTGGCACCGCGTTCACATCAAAATCTCTTTCACTAACATTACCACCAAAGGTGTCCCTCATTTTATCTTCGTGTTCTGGATAATCAAGTTTCTGCACATCCCTAACAAAATGTTACATTCAGATACTGATATGCGACATCATCTAAATGATCATGTAAAACAAGGTGGCAGAATGCCAGTTGTCAAGCTGGCATCCGAAACTCTCAAGTTGTGTAGGGAAATTTCACACATTGGCAGGTTGGCCATAAGCTGAATCAGTGACTAGGGAATTTTCTAGAAAGCTCATGGTAACATAAACTTTATCTATGGTCAACTTAATGTTTGAGTGCCACGTATTTAACTTACTAAAGGTGTAAGGTAGTGTGGCATGTGTTATTCTACGCTTTTCTCTTAATGCACTGATACACAGCTCTCCTACATATGTGAGGAAAAAATGGTAACTTAAACACAACTAATGCAGAGAAAATGTTTAAAAAACAAGCGCTACACAAAATGAGAAATAAAGATTCACCTGATGTTTTCTTTGCATAGACATGGAAGAGGGACCCATACCACCATTGCTAATTGTTGAACTTGTTTCTGTATCTGAATCTAGGTGATCATCTAGACCTCTTCCACATACAGGTTGATTCAAAAAGTTCTCTCCATTCAAACACACCTCATGACTGGCTTCCAAACTCGGTGCAAAATTAGTTGACTTTACCAAAATTTCGCCAAAACCACTCCTGTTTTGTGAGAATGAATGAGTAGATGACAAAGCAGTCGTACTCCAATCCATGGCCCAGGGGTCATCATTAAAGTTTCGTTCTAGTCTACTTGTGGATACATAAGATGGGAGGTTAGAGGAATCTTTTTTGCCAACTCTGAATAGACCCCAAAGAAAGTAGAACATATTCCACCCTGAGACAGAATAAGAATGTGATCAATCAAATTGAAACCTATCCTGAGATAATATGACACTTTAACTAGCTGAAGGGTTCTTACTTTGGAAGTTCTTTGACAAGATATTGGACGGGAGTATAAGCAACTCAACAGTACCAACACTTCCTCTGAGAACTAAATCATTCTTCAGCATATTTTCAACTAATTTACTGTAGTGTTTTTCATAGCTGCAAAAGATAGAAGTGTTAGAATTTCAAATTCAAAACAACATATGAATGAAACAAATATGAATCAGGGGAAAAACTGCAAACAACACACCTCTGAACATCTCTAGCAAAGAAAAAAAGACCTATGTTGTCATAAGTTGGACCATTTTCCTGAAATTGTGTCGGCCATGAATTCTGCCGAGGAACTTCCTCAAGCTGGACTTTAGAAGGGAATTTCTTAACTACGTCCAACACTAACTGTGCAGCAGAACATGATAAGTGGGCTTGGAAACCATCACACAGCTCCGGTGATCTTCCAGTCCTCTGCAGCTCAAAACCACCTCTGTTGAAATAAAAAAAAGTTTAAAATGCATATAATAAACACATCGAGGAAATATTATAATTGCTAGCAAATAATACAGGCTGAGTGATAATCAGGTTTAAAAAAATGGGATGAACCAAAAAGCACACATATAACATCACATAACACAACACACAAAACATGTGAAAGCATTATCTATAAAGTGGCTTCATAATTGATGGTAGACTGGCAATGGAATGTCTAGTAACTTATTACTATTAAGTCATTTAAAATGTAAAGTAAATAATTTCACATATGGGATGGAAAGGAAAGAATACTCATACTGCCATATCCAGTCCAGCTCAGGGACAGTTGAAAACAATGGTTCATCACCAGCTGAAACCCCTTGAGCAGGTTCATCCCTATGATCATTTGGCATAATGCAACCATTATCAGAAGAGATTCCTGGTGTGGCAGATAGAGATGGATGATTATCTTTCAACTTCAGCTTGCTATAATCTACTCCGCTCTCAGGGATGGATAAAATATATCTCATATCCTGCTCATTAGCTTGAGTTGATAATGAAGGCTTATTCACATTCCGATTGCTGCTAGAAGCACCCTGTCTGAAGCCAGTTTGGTCCTTTATTTTAGTCTCCTGATGTGAAGAATCTGAATTCTGAATCACTTTTCTATGAGCACCGGAACCAAGAATCCCACATGAGGATCTTTCAGCATTAGATAGCATCGTACTTCCCGGCACTTTTGCTAAAGGAGGCTTCTTTAGCTCACTGTTTCCTGAACAAACAAATTAGAGTTACTCTACAATAAAATGCATGCAATCAGAATATATGAACTATGTCAAATAAGGAAAATAACATGCAAGGGGAAGGGGGTGACTTTGGCGGAGCTGCACAGGAGGAGGGAGATGTGAGTTTGGAAGGTCAAGTAGTGCCTAAGAAGGATACTTTGGAAGGTCAAGTAGTGCCTAAGAATGATACCTTTCATTATCTAGGATCGATGTTACAGAGAGATGAATATATTGATGCGGACGTTAGACATAGAATCAAAGCAGGGTGGATCAAGTGGCGACAAGCTTCTGACGTTCTTTGTGACAAGAGGGTACCACAAAAGCTAAAAGGCAAGTTTTATAGAATAGCGATTAGACCGGCTATGTTGTATGGAACAGAATGTTGGCCTACAAAGATTTGTCATGTTCAACAACTGTGTGTTGCAGAAATGCGTATGTTGCGATGGATTTGTGGTCACACAAGAATGGACTGAGTTAGGAACGATGATATACGTGACCACCTAGGGGGTAGCACCAATTGAAGAAAAGCATGTCCAACATCGGCTGAGGTGGTTTGGCCATGTCCAAAGGAGACCATCAGAGGCACCAGTACATTGTGGAGTCCTAAGCCAAGCTAATAATGTGAGGAGATGTAGAGGTAGACCAAAATTGACATAGGGGAAGGCAATAAAAAGAGATTTAAAAGCCTGGGATATACCTAGAGATCTATGTTTGAATAGGAGTGCTTAGAAAGCAGCTATTGATGTGTCTGAACCATGACTAGGGGCTCTTGGTGGGTTTCAACTCTAGCCTACACCAACTTGTTTGGGACTCACAGGCTTTGTTGTTGTTGTTGTTGTTGAATTTTTACCACCCTGTACATGAACAGCACCTAAATTATTTGAGTCACCCGTGTTATTTCTTGTAGAGAGGGGCTGAGCTGTGGTATCAGTTTTTAAAAGAACAGGAGCAACCATTGATGCTGTGGCAGAGGGAGGCCCCAATATTGAATAGCACTGACCATTTGTTACGTTGTAGCTCACCAACTGATTCGTCACCCTTGGCTCCTCTGCAGATGGCAAGACGGAAGACTTTGCCTTGTTTGCTGGCTCGCAAGGCTTAGGCTTTTTGAAGGTCGCTGACTTAGTAGTCATGCTGATTGGCCCTTCCTTTTTAACGATAGAAGACCAAGATTCCTTCAAAAAATTTAGCTTCTGAGGAACTTCATTCAATAGCTGTTTCACTTTCGGAACCTTTGAGTTGTTGAAAGAAGTGGATTTGGAAAGTTGGCCTGCATTAAACCTTGCTTAGTATGGTTTCATTTGATTGCATGCCACCAGGGCAAGCCCTAAAAGTACCATAAATTGAACATTAAGGATTTTGTGTAGAGAGTTTAAATATGAAAAAAATAGATTAACAATTTACCATGAGGCTGTGGTGCCTGATTCTTCAGAGCATTAAACTCCAATGAAGTTGCCACTTGATGGCTAGGTTGCTTTCCTTTGTCAGCATCAAACATGAATATCTCGTGTGATGGTTGCATTCTCTTTCTGGAGTCAGCCCCCGTGTACAAGCCACCAGTTTCAGGAATAGTATCTCTAATTGAGGATGTCATCGCAGCATCTTCTTCCGTCCTGGTTTCAACCGTATCATTCCCCTCATTTGTGGTATCTGACTCTTTGTTTTCTACATTCTCAACCTTCAATTTACAGTCTGAAGAATTTCTGCTCTTTGCAGCAATGGGAGGTTTGTTAATCTCCCCTTCAAAGGACAGCTCTTTCGAAGTGCCAACCTTCACCTGAGATTTTTCTAGTCTATTCTCCTTTTCAGATTCTACCGCAGTTTGGCAGTCTTCGCACAGCCACTCACTATCTGGAACCTCTTCCATCATTACCCGCATGCAATACCTAAAGCAAAGAGATATTAAAACATACTCATACGCGCATGCAATATCTGGGAAGACATAATGGAAACAAGTGCTCAAAAGACCAGTTTTCTCCCTAACAGGAAGTGTATAGACAAAGATAATAAATGTGTAGACTTATTAGTGTTCTGGCACGCTAATTGTGCCACGAGCCTTGCAGTCAGCAATTAAAAACCATAAAACAGTAAATGGGCAACTTTAGTGTATGCAATCCATCAAATGCAACTGAACATTATTACAGAAAAAAAGAAAGTAATGCAGCGAAGAAGCCTTACGTGTGCTCTGCGCCGTCATTGCATCTGCTACAGACAGCGAGCTTCTCCTCCTCACCAACATCTCCACATATGTCACACACCTTCACCTATATGTTTTGAAACAGGTTACACACTTCAGGCGATTCAAAACTAGGGCATTATCCAATCAAAGAAGAAAAAGGCAACCCAATCGAAATACAACCAATTGAGGTCGATCAAACCATAAAAAAAACAGAAATTTAAGGTTCTCACTCACGTCTTCAACTTCTTCTGAACTTTTATCATTAGATGAAGTTGTATCTACTTGTGCATTGGATACCTGATGGATATAGACTGTGGTTAATACAAACTGAGGGTTCAATTTCCGATGCATCATATGTTCGCATAAATGCAAATAAATCACTTCAAGATGCATATTAACTTCTCAATAATAAAGATTGGCATTCTTCATACAGGCAATATATGTAATCATAGATAAAACGAAAAACACCAGAACAAAGAGCAAGAAACTCACATCATCCCTGATCTCTTGAGAGCTTCTTTCATTATCAATATCCTTGTACACAGCAGCCACTTGAACATGAGACCCATCTTCATTTGCACCTTCCTGTTCCAAATGAGATGCACCTTGCTTGCTGCTTGTTGAGCTTCTAGAAACCTTCTTTGTGTTTTGAGAGCTAGCTTTTTGGAGCATGTCTTTAGAGTTTGTTGAATGGTCCTGTTCTTCTGAAGCTGAGGATGGACCTTCCTGTTCCTCAATGTGTGCACTAGGCTGACTTTTGCCAACCTGTCCATCTGTATCATCACTGTCACTGTCAACAGCACCATCACTTTCAATCGCCTTATTCACCCTTTTATCACGCAACCTTTTAGCAGATGGAGGTGCTCTTCTCCCCCTTTTCTTTCTTACGGCCACATTAGATGTGTCTTTAACTTCAGAGATCCATGAAACAACATTATTGCGACGACCTGAGCTACGTGACGCCCTGTCTGTATTCCTTACTGAACATATATAAGCATTAATGACATTGTGTATTCTGGTTGTGAAGTGATATAAATGCCTAAGATGCAAAAAAGATGAGAAGGGGAGATAACATACATCGCATGTCCTTTATTCAGGTTTATGAAGAAAGTTCTGGCTCTGATTGTCCTTCCTTTCCAGTGAGGAAAATTGCCTTTAATTTTCAACACATTAAACACTAGGCAAATAAGTTTCTAAAAAGTAATAAACATGGAAAGAACAGAAATAGGAAAAGAAAAACTTGGCAGTCTGTACACAAACACGTAAACATATACACAGAATGTTAGGTGCAATAAATTAGTACTCCCTCTGTCCCAAAGAGAATGACATTTTGTCCTAAATCAAACAATCTCAGGTTGGACAATTTATATAAAAGAATATCAATATTTATATCACTAAACAAGCGTCTTTAGATTCATCATGAAATATAGTTTCCTGATGTACCTATTTGGTATCATAAATGTTGATAATCTTCTCTATAAGCTTGCTCAAACTTAAAATAGTTACTTAGGACAAAGATAGAGTGATGTTCTTTTTGGGATCGTGGTAGTGGTATATATACTATAAAACAAATCATGGGTAAATTCAGACACCGGTCTGATGCAAACAGATTCAACAATGATGACTTGATCTATGTTGCCCAGATACGGATACGGTATTGGATACGCTATTCTCTAGAAAATAGTGACACGAGAATTCGCCTAGGATGTTTTTTTTAATATAATAACTACACATGATTTAATATGAAACCACAGCCACAGTATACTAAATTGAGTGCACAGCTTAATAAGGTCATAGCCAAGTGACATATGGCATAACACATAATTTAAGTTCACAACTTAATAAGGTCACATCCACAGGTCCACATTATACATAATTGAGTTCGAATGCATAGCAATAGTACATAACATAACAAAATTTTAGATCAAAGCACATGGATACCTAATGAACAAAACTATTGAACACATGGGCAGTCGGGCACCGGACGTGGTTAGAGTGAGACTGAGCATAGGGAAGACCGGAGGAGACGAGGATCGAGGAACTGACTAGATTGAATCCTGCTGGGATGGAGAAACCCGGCCGATTCGACGGTGAGCGGCCCAGGTATGCTTGGAGCAGGGGCGCAGAGCTTCTGCTGTAGGGGGAAGGGCCGCCGGGAGCAGGGAGGGGACGCCGCCGGACTACGTCGCCGCTGGCCGCTCGCTGCCCAGCTGTCGGCCGATTCGACAGTAAGCCGCCCAGGCCAGGGATGCTCCGAGCAGGGGCGCAGAGGTGCAACAATAGGGCGCCAGGAGCTGGGAGGATCGCCGCCGGCCGCTCGCTGTCCTGCCGCCGGCCGCCGTTCGATACTCGCCACTCGCGTCGGGGCGTGTCGGGCGCACCTGGAAGGGAATAGGTCACGCGTGGGAGGTAAGTTGGGCTGCTTTTCTTTCATGGGCCGTATCCAGGTAAGCCCAAACGTGTCTGATGCCCGTATCCAGATTTCGTAGTACGGCCTGAGGCCCTGTTTGATAGAGAGTGATGGAAGGCCCGGAACCGTGAAGAGCCCAAGCCTAGTGCTGCACATGTGCTCTTATTGGCCCAATCTCGACGGCCCATCAGGGGGAGGCCGAGTCTTCTTCTGGAGAAAGCCAGCGCGACTCCTCGCCTTCCCCGTATTCTACTCTTCCGGTCTTTGGGTCTCCCGCAATTCCACGGCGGCTCGTCCCGTGCAAAACCCTACATCGCCGGCAAGAGAGAAGGGCTAGGTATCCCATGGCGCGCACTGTGGTTGCAGCTGCAGGTGCGAGCTGTTACGATCTGCCACCTCCATCGTCATCGACCTCAAGATCGACGGCTACTCACTCACCAAGGGTACACCCACTGGAGATTCTTTCAACTCTGATCCTTTGATCGTCAGTGGCCACCGCTGGCGCATCCGCTTCTTCCCCAACGGAGCCAAACCGGGGTACGAAGGTTTCGTCTCGTTTTTCCTTCATCTCGACGATAGTGTCGCCGATTCGGTGAAGGCGCAGTTCCAGTTCTGTTTTGTCGACAACGTGGAGAAGAAACCGGTGACACTAGAAGCGGTGTCTAGCTTTGCGAGCAATGAGGGCTGGGGATACCCAAAGTTCATCAAGAGGAAAGAGCTTGAGAAATCGGAGAACCTCAAAGACGATTCTTTCACCGTCCGGTGCAACGTTGTCGTTATCAACGAGTTCGGCGCCAAGTTAGAGACGGCCGTGGGAGCCCCTCCAACTCCAACAACTCCAACCAGGTTCGTCTCCGTGCCCCCATCTGACCTGCATCGGAATGAACCCCTCCAACTCCAACAACTCCAACCAGGTTCGTCTCCGTGCCCCCATCTGACCTGCATCGGAATCTTGGCGACCTCCTCCTGAGCGAGAAGGGCGCCGACGTGGTCTTCGATGTTGGTGGCCAGACGTTCGCGGCACACCGGTGCGTGCTCGCCGCCCGGTCACCAGTCTTCAGCGCAGAGCTTCTTGGCACAATGAAGGAGAGCAACAACACGACAGGCGTTGTCCGTGTAGACGACATGGAGGCTCAGGTGTTCAAGGCTCTGCTCCACTTTGTGTACACTGACTCATTGCCCAGGACAGAGGAAAGAGGACAAGGGAAGAAGGGCCGGAAGAGCGAGAAGAAGCTGAAGAGGAAGAGGACGACGACATCATGTCCCAGCACCTGCTTGTTGCAGCTGATAGATACAACTTGGAGAGGCTGAAGTTGATCTGCGAAGACAAATTGTGTGGGTACATTGATGTGGGAACAGCAGCCACCATACTGACGCTAGCTGAGCAACACAACTGCCGCGGGCTGAAGAAGGCATGCTTCAATTTTCTCAGCGTTCCTGCGAATCTGAGGACAGCCGTGGCCACCGATAGCTTCAAGCATCTAAGCAGAAGCTGCCCAGCTGTCATGGTGGAGTTGATTGCTATGCTTGTCGCCTGAAAACAGTGATGATCATCATTGTTCGAAATTGTTATTACCGGAGTTTTTAGTAGCCTGGCCATTACTCTATATGACATTATGATCGAGTACTGGAAAGATGCAGAATTACCATGTTCAATGTCATCTCAGTTTTGTCAGGTCATTACACATCCCTGTAGCCCATGTTAATCTGGAACATCTTTGTTATCATCTAGCTCCGCCCGTTAGGTCCAGAGGATCTTAGTTTCGTACGGAGATGCTTAAGCACGGAAATTGTTAAGGGTCTATTTGTATCTAATGAGCTAACAAGTTACTAGAAGATGCAAAATTACCTGCTAAACTTAGCTCTAGTGCATGGATCTAAACACCATAACGAGTTATCTAAAACACTTCAAACATACCTCTGTAGCTTCTGAAACACTTAACATATGCAACATCCTCTACTTTTGCAACATCCATATGAAACACTTGCAAACATACCTCTAGAGCATCTGAAACACTTCAAACATACGGTTGCAACATGTCAGACGCGACACTCTAGTGGGAGGCGGCCACCATGTCAGGCGCGTCGAGGGACTCGATAACCGCATCGATGGGTAGATCGGGGCTGTGAGGTGGTGGAGCGAAGAGCACCACGGGCTTAGCTGTCGCGAGCTTCTTCCACTGGGGCACCGGGGCGCACGGAGCCTCGATGCGAGCGCGAAGTACGGCACGGCCGCGACATCGTGGTCTCCAGCCGTAGGAGGAGGTGACGAGGAGGACGCCGGTACCGGCTCCAGCAATGAGGGCAGGGGCGGTCGGCAGGCACGACTCCAATGGCGCAGCTTGGCGTCGCGGAGGCGAGTGAGAGCCCCGGGACGGAGGTAACGGAGGTGGTCACTGCTAGGGAAGACGAGCGGTGGACGAGTGATAGAGAATGACACGACACCCCTACTAATCGGAAATGTCAACGTCTTTTTATTTTAAGATAAGAAACGGTGAAAGAATAAAGGGAAAGGAAACAGGCCGGACGGTCGGATGCCAGCATTTCCGTTCCCGAAAACAAATCAAACCGTACTGTCATGTCTCATTTGCTCCACTCCAGAAACGCCCGGCGCGCGCGAATGCCGTCACTTCCCCTTCGCGCCAAAAACAAAACCCTAGGTCTCCCACCTTTATGGAGCCGCCGCCGGTGGAGCCGCAGGTGGCGGAGATTGCCGCGGAGCCCGACCGCGCCGCCGCGTACGCGCGGTTGCTCCACCTGCAGCGCGGCTGCGCCGCCGACCCCTCCGCCGCCGCCGACCTCGCCGCGGAGTTGCCTTCCACCCTCCTCCCGCTCCTCCTCCTCGACGCGGCCGCCAATGACGAGGCTGTCGCCGTTTCTGCGCTCAAGTGCCTCGGCTTCACGCTCTACCACCCCGTCCTGGTCTCCACCATTTCAGGTACTATTAATAGTGGCTCTCTGTGCTCGCATTTCTTCAGTTAAATATCCGGTGTTGGTTGAACAAGATCTGGATTAGTGAATCAATTTGGTTCTGCATAGTTAATGAGAAAGAATTGGACATGGTGGGATTCAGCCTCTTCTGTTAATAAGGTTACATTGCTTTTCGTTATGAAGTATATTACCCTCCAACGGTGTGCCGTAAGATCAAAACTTAAACCTTTTGCATTGGTTTGAATCTGAACTCCACCGGCATGTTTGACATTTTTAGCTCAAAAAAACATTTATTTTCTACTGTTGCCTGGCAATTAATCAGAGCTCCTTCCATTTTGAATGTTATTTGTACTGTTTTTCGACTTTTATCACTTTTACTACCAATCTCATTAATCCCTTGGGTTCATCCTTCTGAAAATCTAAGTTGACACTGTCCTGCTCAGTTTTTTATACATGACATGCTGTCGACATTATTTCAAATAACACAGCTAAAAATATATTTTCTTATTTTACAGCACAGATGGCCCAATTGGCATTGGATACCTTGGTACAGATAATCATGAATACTCGGATGAAGGTTGATCTGGCTGACCATTTTTTCCTTCTCAACAGCTTAAGATGCTAAATTTTGCGTGCAGAATGCGTATTTGATCTTTTAGTATTTGATTCCCATTTTCTCCTGTTAATTCTTTTACTACAGTCGGCTTGTAATTTGGGTGTCTGGTGCTTCTCGGTTCAACAATTGGAGCCCTTGATTATAGAGGATAGAGCAGATCCAATGCTTATTGCTATTGTTCATGCCCTCGACAATCCATTTGGTTCATTGTCCACAACATTTGAGGCAGCTCAGGTTGTTCTGCACACCTAAACTATGTTGCATTTCATTGCTTTTTTTTTTTCTGTGTTTTTAGGAATTTCAATGTACAGGCTGCAACCGAATTGATCATGTAACTACAGCCTACTTGCTTAGTGGTGTTCATTACAAAATAACAATATGCTTTCACAATGCTTCTAATTCACAGGAATTTGCCTCAAATCATGCAAAACTCTTATTAGCATACTTTGCTCCTTTTTTCTCTTCCTTTATCATCTATCATATTATAATGTAACTTGGAATAGTGCTTTTAATAACTTCTGCTGTAGGCTATCATGAATTTTTTTTCTCTCCCTTTATCATCTATCATTATTATAATGTAACTTGGAATAGTGCTTTTAAAAACTTCTGCTGTAGGCTATCATGAAGCTTGCTGACCAAAGTCCCAAAAGAATGAGGGACCAATCATGCTTGTGGGTTCCACCAGTGTACCGAAGACTCTTAAGTGCTGACAAGACAGAAAGGGACATGGCAGAAAGATGCCTTATTAACGTGTCATGCATTATTCTACCACCTCAGCCTCTTCTTTCCAAGGTAATTAAAAGATCACTGTTAATTACTAGAAGATATAATTAGATGTTGCTTTAGTATTAGAAGCAACTCATATGAATATTTCTGTTAATTCATTAAACACTGTGAATCTGTTGCTTGCAAATTCATGCCACATATGCACATTGTGGTGTATTATTTGTTTTTCTAAATGGACTATCTTCTGATAGAGCATTTTAATCCAACTTAACTATCTGGGTGCATTATAACGGTGCACCCAAAGGTTCAAGTAGATTGGGTGACTTATTATGATAAATCTTGAGGGTAGGTTCATGTGGACAAGCAATGATTCAATACATTTTTTTTTTGTGACTGGAATGCCAAGGCAATTTAGCTGAATTGCATTAGTTTTACATATTGGTGACATACGGATGTACTCCTTGTCACACAACAGTAACTGCAGTGTGAGCTTTTGTTGAAGTGAGTAGCATATCAGCAAACTAATTCTCTATCAATAGTATAGCATTATTAAAACACTTAAAATCAAATCTGAAATGATAGGTCTAGAGGCTTCATAACACTTCCTGGCCTCCTGCTACTATTGAAATGTCCTGCAGTTCTGTTACTTTCAGTTCAGGTTACAGAATCCATGTACCAGCAAAAACTGGAAACTATTAATTCTTTCTGTGACATGCAGGAGAGCTGCATGTCATTGTATCAATAGGTACAAAAGTGCGGTCACAAGAACATGCTGATTCCACTGCTGGGGTTAGTTTTTTATGACACACGTGCCCTAGAAGCAAGGAAAACACCCTCCACAACAACTATACTCATTGAAGCAACTCAGCCAGTGCCTTTGCTCCTGCCAGGATCCACAAATGGCCCTGGTCAGCGGCTTCCTGGAGCACAACTTGGATGCTTGGTTGCTCCCCGTTGAATTATGAGTTAAATACACCGGCGGCCCTTAAACTTGTAGCTCTGTACCACTTAGGTCCACGAACTCTCAAAATCGAAATCTAACTCCCTAAACTTGTTAAGTCGTGCACTGCAGGTCCATACCTCTTCATGTGGGTGCTGACTAGGATAAAATTTATAAAAAACACCTCCAGCAATGCCAAGCTTATCCTCCGAGTCCAGCCGGAACAACGCCGCGCCCTCGGGGAGGAACGGGTGCTGCGGCGACAAGCCGCTGTCGGGCTGCAGGATGTATCTCGCGCCCATGGGCGTGTACAACACCTTGTGCGTGTTGAGGCACGGGTGAGTGCGGACTGCGGAGCACGCCATTGAGGCGCAATGCAATGGCGTGGCCCAGGTAGCGGCACGAGAAGGCCCTGTGCACGTCGCGGTGCATGGCCACGGACCGGACGCGCGCCTCGCGACGTCCAGACGCGGCTCCCGCCGGAGAACATGGAGGGCGCCCCGAACGTGACCACCGGGTGTAGCGCGTCGGCCGTCACCACGCCGCGCGCCAGCAGCATCAGGCTAACGAGCATCGCGAGGCTGCCGTCGAGCGAGTGTCCCGTGAGCCTCGATCTCCGGCATCACCTGCTCGTAGATGCCCTTGGCCGCCTCGTAGATATGCCCGGTGCACCAGCACCCCCCGTGCCCTCGAACTCGGTGGGCTCGAGCAGAGGTCGGCTCGCTGACGACGCCGGCCGAAGTCGGAGCCTTGGATGCCGAGGCACCGGGTCCGCGCGTCCGCCTCGTCGCAGAAGAACCAGGTAGTGGAGGTGTGTTGGTGTTGTGTTTGTGGGTGTGTTTGGGTCTCTGTATGACTGCTTTCTCTTCTATTAATACAATGATACGCTGCTCTCCTGCGTATTGAAAAAAAAAAGAACCACTCGCCGGGCGGCCGGTCGCGCGGGCCGTACACGCGCCTCGAAGTTGCCACCACCGCCATCACCGCCGAGGCGGCCACCTTTCACCGTTGAGGCGGCCATGTCCGTGTACCTACGACGAGTAGGCCCCGTCGAACGAGTGCATGCGCGGACGTGGGGACGCGACCGACGCCGCCACCTCGTAGGATAGGTGCGACTAGATGGGCCGAGCGGTACGTGGGCGGAGAGCCACCTCGACGCTGTGCGGCGCGGTGCGCGGCCACGTGGAGTCGCATCCAGCTTGGCGCGTATGATGCCGGCCTCCGCCTTCTCCAAAGACTGATCATTCATCTACTAAAACTAACAGGTTTTCCATCATGAAAATTTTCACTTGAATAGTGAGCATCGAATAACGCGTCCACGGTCGCCCGGCACTGCGGCGAGACGCCCAACCAGCCGCCTCTGAGTCTCCCCGCCGAGAGTCCGACAGCCGAGTCGCAGGTAGCGCCACGGCGATCCGGGAGCTCACCATCGTCGCTTGGCGAGCGCCGCCAGAGATCGGCGAGGCTGCACGCGTTCAACCTTAGCTACGGGCGTGAGGGACGCCGCGGCGGACCGCTGGTGATGAGTTGCGCGGTCTTTGTACAAGGATCGCCTCCGCTCCGCGCGGCGTATCTGTGGCGGGGTGACCAACATGCCGGCATACGACGACCGCGTGGTTGACGCTGTGAGCGCCCTGCGTGTGTTCGTGGAGAAGTGCCAGAGCCCCTTCGACGCGCAGGAGATCACGTCACAGCTGGAGCAGGTGAACCGGGAGTCCGGGACTCGGAGGATAAGCTGGGCATTGCTGGAGGTGTTTTTCATAAATTTTTATCCTAGTCAGCAGCCACATGAGGGGGTATGGACCTGCAGTGCACGACTTAACAAGTAAAGGGAGTTAGATTTCGATTTTGAGAGTTCGTGGACCTAAGTGGTACAGAGCTACAAGTTTAAGGGCCGCTGGTGTATTTAACTCTTGAATTATTAATAGATTAATATAGGCAAACGTGCACGTGATGCAGGTTTTTGGTTATACCAATTTTTGTGTTGCATTTGATATCTGAATCTTTTTCTGTGTGTTTACTATTTCCTGGAGTTGGCTTATTAAATGGTTCAGTGTTTCTCCTGCAACTTTGCATATTTTGCATATTTTACTTGCTGTGGTGATCTGCTTTCCTATCCTCAATGAGCTTATCTATCGATTGTTTCCCAATTTATTTTGTTGCATGCTGTATAGGCTGTTGCTTCAGACCTTGAGCAGAAGTTACTCTCCTGCATGGTAAATATGCTTGATGATCCTTCGGAGAAAGTTCAAACTGTGAAGTCATGGGGATGGATCATATCTTTGCTTGGTCCAGATGCAGTGAACAATAGACCGCTGCTTAATAAACTCCTAAAGGTTCCTGAGCAGATGTTTACTGATCTAAACCCACAAGTTCAGGTTGCTACAATGGTGAGTTAAACTATTTATCCTTTTTCCGGACTACAATTTCTTTTCTAGTATTATGAATGTCTGTATTACATTATGATAATCTTTACATATTTACAGGTTTCCTGGAAAAAATTGGTGGATGCATTTTTTCCTTCTCAGGCAACTGAGATTGTGGTCCAACAAACTGTGATTCCCCCATTAAAACCCATTGAACAGGCAAGTGCAGGTGAAAAGGATAAGATTAATTATGGTGCCTTTATGTCGAGTTCTATCAAGAAGTCGCAATATTGTACTTGGCCTTTCTTGTTTGAGTACATGGCATTACCTTCTACATAGACTTGGTAATCTGATCAATCATTTACCCATTCTGGAGGCTGCTTTTGGGCCAATACTCAAAATAGTTTTCTCTTTTGGGATCAATGATCAGAACAAGCCGCTGTGGTCATTTTGCTTGAATCTTTTTCATGATTTTGTTTCATCCAAAAATAGGGGCAGAGAGGATTTGTGTGCTCCAGTGAATCAGAACTTGCTAGCTCAATCGTGCATGCATATCAAGGCCTTATTGGGTGTTCAACATATCAAATGGTTACCATGGGATATTAGATGCTTTCATTTCCAGCTTGATATTCTTGGCATAATTCTTAAGCCAGAACTATTCCAGGACATGATTCCTGAAACACTGGTGATTGTTATGGATTCTGCAACAGAGATTTTCAGATTTCTTCTTCAAGGTATTCAAATCGAACTTAGAGAGCAGCATGCTTATGAACAAGTCAGCGAATGCATTACTAATGTGTGCATGTTTGCAAAGAAGTTGTTGCTGGATCATATAAGAAAGAATAGTGTTAACAAGTGTGCAACATTACTGGAATTTGGTCTTCGGTTTGTGAAAGTTATTGTGGATGAACTAGATCATTCTCTGTTAGCGTCTGAAAACATTGAGGTATGCCTAGACATCGAGCACATAAAGGAGAACCAACAGGCAGAATACAGTCCAAAGGTGTCTTTACCAAGAATCAGATCACTCCCTTACATGGAGATGGTTTCTCCAGCAGTTTATGTGGCTGCACTGTCTCTGTCCATGATATCTCAGTATACTGGAGAGCTGTCTCGTAGAGATGCAGAGAAGTTGGTTTTAATTCTGGCTTCATCAGATGTCCTGGAGAGTTTTCGTATTGCTGTCTCTTTTATGTATATGCAGATCGGGCGGCCGACATGTAATAGGGAAAGATTAAAATGGTTGATGGTTTGGAACTCGTTTGCAAAACAATTGAACAGTCAAATTATCTCTTATTTGGAAACCAATTCTGGATTAAGTTACCATGATGTTCTCCATCAGTTCTTCTGTTATCCAATCCTTTATTTTTTATACCCCAAGGGGATATCCATTCTTTTGAATGCTGAAAACAGCTCTGAGTCAAATGTTTCTGTCCTGCAAGACCTGGAGATGGAATCAACAATTGAAGTTTATAGATCCCTCTCTACAAACTCCTGTAATTCGAAGTTTTCTTCCAAGGTTTTCTTTGATGGTTTTTACAAATACTTGGTTTGCACTATTGACGAAAACATGGCATTGTTCCAAGCCAACCTTGAGCATTTGTCAGAGAAGTTTGAAAATGCTACTATCCTTTCTGCCCTTGGTGAAATAGTTATTGGACTGTTACAGAATGATCAAATGTTGACCTCTGCTAACCAAGAGGTGAAGGAAACAAGTGAAGATTCTTTTGTGTGCAAACAACCTAAACTTTTCTTGAATTGGTTCAAGCTTGCTAATAGGTTTGTTGACTTACACTTCTAAATGGAACACCTGTATCTATCCTGCCTACCAAAAGGATGACCTCAGTCTGTTTCAGTAATCTATAAGCTTTTTATGATATGCAGGTTTATGAGGTTGTCAAGTTTTCATTTCAAAGCAAATCCAGCTGGACAGCACCAGGTCACAATCAGGTATTTGAGCAGATTTACAAAATTGCAAACCTGTCTGTTGATTTTAATGGAAGTAAGCTGCTATTAGTTGTGTGCTTGAGTTTACATCTCAGTTCTTTTAACTTGGTTGTGCTTCAGGTTTTTTTCAACTTTGTCTAATCTTTCTGGGCATCTCATACTAAAGGAAGACGTTCTTCTTCTTTTCGAGGTTTGTGGCATATTCACAGTACAAAGTAAAAATATAGATGTTCATGTTGCTAAGGGCATCAACTTCATTTAGTCCTACTCTTTCTAGAATTCAAGCACATGACACAAAGCACATACTTTATGCTAACTTGCATGAAGACACCATTTCGTCCTTGCAGATTATTGGAGACCAACTTACCGAGTGGCTCTCTTTAACAACCATATTATACTCTGAAATGCAACAAGGAGAAATTATTGTTCATCTTGAGAACCTTTGGCTCAAGATGGTTGAGTGCCTGAAGAGGAGTCAGCTAGTTAGTGATGTACCCTTAATAAATCAGAAGCAGCGACTTCTTCAAGCTGCACTCAATCACCCACATCACCCCATTTCAGTTGCAACAGCATCAATTTGCAGACCAGCAACACATGGCAACGCAATCCTGCACCCTGGTTGCTTAATTTCTGAATTTGATGAGTTACTAATGCATAGAAGAAAGGCTCTCAATAGCTCCAGGAAAACAGCCATCACATCGAATTCTACTGATCTCATGGCTGAGAGAGATGGTGGATCTGTGAATGTCTCGGTGGGTTTGGGGAGGAAGAGGCTGAAGATCATGAAGTATTCAACTAAACCAAAGGAACTTAACAAAAGTAGAGCCCACATGGGCTTCTCACCACGTAATATGGAAAATACAGTGTGTAGGAAACCAGAATTAATATTGGAGATGCTACAGAGAAAGACATAGTTGTTTGTACTCAATGTTAATTTGTTTAAAGAACTTAAATGTGTAGATAGTTTTATGCATGACATGTATATCAAGCGGAAGGTCAATGCAATGATCCCCTGAAAAAAAAGAGATTTAAATCCAATCAAAATTATTGTGAACTGCACTACAGGGCCTACAAGTCATTGTCATTCCTTACCCAGCCACATTGTCCGATTACAATGAGATGGAAACAATAGGATGTCATCATGTATAGTTCTACCTCTAGTAAATGATGATTTGGGCTGGCTGTACCCCCATTTTTTGTGTTTTGGTCACTTCTGAACAAGGTCCCTGTGTTCTTCCTCATACTGCAGACATGCTGTAAAGCCCAACTCTTCGTTTGATAAATGATAACTACAGGTCTATAGCTGCAGTTTCTTTTTCCAGTCGCAAAAGTAATGCCCAGAAAGAAGTAATGCCTTCACCATCGACATTCTGGCATGTGGGGCAGTCCCCAGCTGCATGCAGCCAGGACGGTATTGCAGAGGGCGCCGGCTGTAATCAATGGCAATTAGAGTCTGTTGAAGAGATTAGAGTTATTGATGGGAAGAGAAACAAGGAGCTAGAGGCTGGGCGCCTAGGGGCTGGGCACCTCTATTTATACCCTGTAACCAATTTACGATGAATCAAGCAATTGAACAACAAACAATCTAGTTACCCCTAAATATTCTAGTCTTCCTCCACGCCGACTTTGCCCGGCCTTCCTCTTGGCAATGGTTATCCTCTCTATCCCTGATATGAACTAAGGTTCATAGCATCTAGTCTCACGAGTCAGGGATCCTTTCCTATGGCTTCTGTTGTCGGTCATCCATCACCATCATGTGATGAGCCAATCACTGCCCTTGTTGAGGGGACTCGCAGTCTCGCAGAGGAGATGGATCGCTTCGTCATGATGTTCAACCGCTACCGTGCTCACATGGAGAAGTCAGAGCATGAACATCAAGCAGCGGTACGGCTACAGGCGGCAGCGCGAGGGTTCCTGGTAAGGCACACCACAAGGAAGATACGGGCAGCTATCAACCCTGCGGCGCTCACGACAGTTATGGTTGTGCCTACAAGCTATGTCGACGCCCCACCATATCACAAGTTTCCCTTTATCTCAATAAGCGGCGGACATTCACCAAAATTCTCCAGGCTTGATGAGTTGGATGTGGCACCGCCACCAACACCAGCCGTCTCATCTGTTCTGTCATCTGTTTTGGTGTTGCTGGACAGGCCCAGCGTACTGGTTGACTGCTACATCCTGAAGCTAGCTGTTGGACTCTTCTCATGGGATCCAGGAGGATATAGCTGTCGTTCAAATTTATTTCATATTTTAACGAAGGTAAGCCGAGATATAAAAGGCTTAACCCGTGGTCGCATTAAGTCTGCGGCAGCTCGTGGGCGAGCTGCTTTGAAAGGGGGGAAGATGCCATGTGGGGCAGCCAGGGACTGGCTGCATGCAGTCAAGACGGTATCCCAGGGGTGCCAGCTGTAATCGATGGCAATTAGAGTCTGGGTAAGATATTAGAGTTAATGAGAAATTAGAGTTATTGATGGGGAGAGAAACGAGGAGCTAGAGGCTGGGCACCTCTATTTATACCCTATAACCAGTTTATGATGAATCAAGCAATTGAACAACAAACAATCCAGTTATCCCTAAATATTCTAGTCTCCCTCCACGCCGACTTTGCCCAGCCTTTCTCTTGGCAATGGTTATCCTCTCTATCCCTGATATGAAATAAGGTTCATAACACATTCTTACTTAAGATGTGATGTGTCCAGTTGGTTGTCAAAAGCTCAAAAAGCCCGGTTGATTAGTCCAAGCTGGTTCAAATCACTCAAATCTGATCCAGTGTCGACTACCAATGGATTGTTGTCAGAACGTATCCTTGTAATGGACTGAGCTGTGACCATTGTAAACATAATATCTTCCCAAGGATCTTTCACACTCTGTCCAGCACATATTGAATTGGTTGCATTTGTTTGTCCATGTATATTACATATATCTGCATCCTCTAAAATGTTACATAGTTATGGGTTATATAGATGATGTACTTAGGATTTTTTTAGGCAGGAGAGGTCGGGTGTTTCTGTAAGGAACGGACAAAGAAATATTTCTCCCTTTAATACTAGTTAAAGACAGAGATGATATCCTAAAGAGTTATGAACTTTTTAGCCACACATTATTTTAGAAAAAAAATATTTAGGATATGGCATTATTTTGACACGGAGAGAGTAACTTCAATTAAGTAATTCGTGTAATTAGGATATTGAGGTCCCAATTAAGGCAATGTTCGAGCGGTCAATTTGTCCTGATATCGAATTTTCCATAACATTTAACATCCAACTACTGAAATGGTACCAGAAGGATAGCAGAGAAGGGATCGAATTTTGCAGAGATGGCAACGAGGGAAGTACAACCATTTTGATGGGCACAGTGGGTAGATGTAATCAGTTCGGTGACCCAAGTACAAGAAACCAATAAGCAGCTAGTAATCACTCTATTGACTTAGTGGAATGCACTGATATGTTACTACGAGGAACAGTCACTTCATCATCAATAACACCAAGAAAAAGTGCATTACAAATTAGTAGAAAATATAAAAAATAACTAAAATCTGGGAAAAATAAATGTTACAGATAAAAACTCTGGTCCATCTTGTGAATTTACAAACCTGAAGACGAACCAGCTAGAAGGCCCTTTTTCTTCAGAAAGGGTAACGTTTCAAGTCGCACTCAATCACCCAGATCACCAGATTTCAGTTGCAGCAGCATCATTTTGGAGAGTTTGTTTAGGATAGAAGAAATGGTTACCTTTAACAATGCGGATCAAGACATTGCATATGGAGAAATTATGGACATTTCAAGGAGGTTTGCATTGCCAATGTCCAGAGAAAAGACCTGACATCAAACTCAAATAGGCACGGAGAGTGATGGTGCATCATTGAAGATGTGCATGGCTAGCTGGAACAAAATGAGGAAGATGCTGAAGATAATGAAATGTTCAACAAAGCCAAAGGAACCTGACAACATAATTGTTCAAATTGATGACATTAGCACATGATAGATACTGATGTCCTCTCACTGCACTGCAGAAAATACAGTGTGCATGATACCAGAAGTAACAATACTGTAAACGATCGACACAAAGATAGTAGTTTAAACTGACAACTGTTCGTTCTTCGTTGCAAGAATTTACACACGTCGATAATTGTTCTGTTTATATATCAAAGTGAGGCTCAATAACTGACCCCATGCACACAAACGAACTGAATATTTATTCAACGTTAAACAAGGTCACGGACTCAAGGGTTAAGTCATTGCTCATTTGTTGACTGTCAATATAAACTAAATCAAATAAGACTATCTGACAAACTAGGGAATAGAGCACAGAATTCATAGATAGAAAACAAAACTATAACAAAACCATAAATCAACCACAGCTTAGACATCCGGGAAGATTGAACTCGGAGTTCACCTAATTAGAAGATATAGTTGAATTTATTACACATAAATAACATTCCAGCTTAGTCATGCCAATGTACTACACTATGAGGACCTTCCCTTTGCCACCATGACTGGAGCGGTCAGGCCTAGGACTCCCAAAGAATTGGAAACAGGGTGCAATCATGTAGCTCTACTTCTGCTAACTCATGCTTCGGTTTTGTAGGAACCCATCCTTGTTGCTTTCGCCACAGCTCTAAAATATCCTCATTTCCTTCCTCTGTTCCTCACCATCTATTACAGACATGCTGTAGAGCCTCAACTCTTCTTCTGTTAGCTGCAACTGCAGCTTCTTTTTCAGATGCACAAGCAGAGTTGAGAAAGAGATCCTGCCTTCACCATCAATATTCTTGCAGAACATGTGGTAAGCCCAGTCCTTCAAAAGCTCTGAAGTGGATATATCATCACAATGGATGTCCACAGAGAAACCAGAACAACAAGACATTACCGTTCCATCATCCATCACAATGTCAAGCTCCTGAACAAGGACCCTAATCGTCAACGCTTTCACAGTACTCCGAGACACCATTAACACGGAGCTCACCATGAGCCCTGATCGGTCAATGTACTGACCTGTCCTCGGTCCAAACCCATGGTTTCTATATCGAAGTAGCCTTCCACAAACCCCAAAGTTTCGAGAGCCCTTGATGATGCCGCTGCTGGTGCTGTCTTTGAAATGGGAAGAACATACTCACCATTTTCCGCCCTCCGGAGCATTTCCTGAAGTCCTACTTTGTCAACAAGCTCGCAGGAAACTTTTCTGTTGTTGTTCATCGATAGCTTGAACTTGGAGTTGGAACATATGCATGATGATTAACTCTAGTGCAACTAGGAAATTGTTGGTGATGTGTCCAAGAGGCAAGCATACACACAAGATTGGATCATATGTAGGCCAAAATAGAATTTTGATCCACGAGAATCCTAATGGGCCTCGAGGGTAGAAGCCCATTAGCGGAGTCTATATATACGAGGGGTTGGGGCTTATGTAACTCATTTAAGGTAGAGATAGTAAGACATTTAGTAAAATCTTAGTTGCACATTTAAATAGATTATTTTTTTGCAAAAATTTTGATAAGTGAAACTAGAGGCCAATTTTAGGGGTAGAAGTTTTAGAAAGTCTAATTCATCCTCCTCTCTCCTCTTTGGCTTCATGGTCCCTACAGTTATAATAAGAAAATTGTAACTACCTGAGTTTTTTTGCATGGGCCAACTTGCTAGTTTAGATACACTATACTAGGCGAACATTTTAAATTGTGATTAATTAAATAATTGTATATTAGATTAATAAATAATATTAATCTAAAGAAATAAGGGTTACTCATGATCTGAGTCCAAGCAACAGAAAATATATGATCATAAATTAATTGAAGTTGTTAAATACTGTGATATTAAGTCACAACAAGGAAATAATAATGTCCATGTGTGTGGAAAAGGAACACACCTTTGTGACTGTCATAGTGTTGTCTCCTAGCGGTAATTCTTCGTTGCCAATGCATCGACAACTGGTACCATGAATATGCATACATTTGGGCACCTTTTTCAAATTGGCAGTTGAAATCTGATTGCCCATAACAGCCTAATCTAATATACCTGCATGTGAAAATTTCATAACCACCTATAAAGCGAATTAGTTAACATGAGATCGTCTCTGGACCCGCCTTCCTTTGACTTCCTTATATCATAGAATCTCCCTTCCACAATTATCCTGTAGAGAGATTTCATCTCAAAGCACACTGAGCGACGATCATTTGAATCAAGAAAGCCACGAAGACCTATGCACGCCAACGAGTTCTGTGGTAGGATGGGCTTTCTGCCTTGCATACATTGAGTAGCCTCCCTCTTGGCCTTTTTAGTAATAAAGGGCGTACCCAGTGCAGAGAGCTCTCGCTCTGTGCGGGGTCTGGAGAAGGGTGTCAGTGGCAAGTCTTACCCTCGCCTATGCAATGCGAGAAGACCACGACTCGAACCCGGGACCTTCTGGTCATAGGCGGTAAGACTCTACCGCTTGCACCAGGCCCGCCCTTCCTCTTAGTCTTTTTAGTAATCTTTATGTGAAAACATTGAGAGTGAAACAGGGTAATAGCTTGGATATATCAATTGTCACCACGGGTACAGATGTTTGATGTTTCAATTGCTCTAATGTAAACACTGGATTCTGTGCAAACATACCACAAGTTAGATCAATACTCAGACATATAAGTGTATATTTTTTTGCAGACAAGTGTATACGTATATACAAAAAGGAATAATTACAGATTATGAAACTACACATTTTTAACAACAAAAAAAGCATTGCCACTTGATTTGAGTATCAATAGATTTATAATTAACATATATTTAGTTTGCAATTTCTGCACTTTTCAAATTGGCTGCCATTCCATTGGAACTTGTCGGAACAAGCAAGACCTGAAGGAAATAAATTAGCATTATATGACTGCTTTGCGATTTAGCAGGAAGTCGTATGTAGTAGGGAGTCATCTGTAGTTGATGATGGGCATGGTCCACAGAAGCAGTGACGATGTGATGGAGTAGATCGCGAATGCTAGCGTTTACGACGTTGCAAAACTCAAGAGATGGCAAAAGAAACAAAGTTGAAAATCATTGTTTTTATGCAGGACCTTGGCGATCACCTTGGGCCAGTTGAGGAGCTAGACATGAAACTTTGGCCCTATAAGTTTGATAGTTTAAAGCAACGCTATTAAGGATAGTGACGAAGAGCATCGGCTAACTAGTGAGCCCATGATATGGATATGTTGCCATAATATATATGCCCTCTCGACTGTATAACAAGGTTTTAGTAAGGTATAAATTCCTATAAATTTAGTTTATAAAAACATAAGCTGCAATCTATCTTCCAATTACTTTTATAATAGATTCCATTGTTATGAAATTCTTCTCCAAATATTCATGAACTAGACAACACAAATGCCACTAACACAGTTATTTCTTAGTACACACATTTAAACTATTGTTTCTATTAGGAATCAAAGTCCATGCCATGGCTAACTTTAGAATAAAATTAATGATGATATACTATTTTAATTTTCTTTTGGGTTGTGAAATAAGCAAGCAGCAATTCTTCGTTGTGACTAGCCAACAAGCAGCAGTGTTATGTGGAAAAGGGATACACCTTTGTGACTAGCATAGGGTTGTCTCTTGGCGGTAGTTCTCCGTTACCAATGCATCGACAACTGGTACCATCTATATGCATACATTTGGGCACCCTTTTCAAATTGGCAGTTAAAATTTGATTACCCATAACAACCTAATCTTAATATACTTGCATGCAAAAATTTCATAAACAGACATAAAGCAAATAAGTTAGCATAAGTAATAAAGCATATTCCGAGTGTAGATCCACGAGAAGCATATGATCTATAATACCCTGTTCATGCAAGAGGTTGCACATGGTAAATCCAGGGATAGTGGTGATGAACTAATACTGCCTCATCGCAAACACTGCCCACCACCAGTACCGGTCCTCCTAGCCAAACACTGTTCACCGCTGGTCAGTAGCACTTCACCGCCAAAACAAGTGAGAGAGAAAAGGTGAGAAATCTAGCACGTACCTGGTTACGACAGACAGCGTGAGGAGTTGTGTGCAGTGTTTTTAAGGTGTCGCTTAGGCATCGCTTAAGCGTCGCTTAAGCGCCAAGGCGTGGCAACTAACTACCGGTAAGCTTTTGGATGCAGAGCCAGAGAGCGGCGCGGCAGTGGGGGTGGGCCAGTGATTTCTCTCCTCGCCTCGATCTCATTGACATGGGCGGCTAGACTACGCCAGGAGGAGACCATACCGGCAGAACTCGTCGCGTACTATAGGGGGGTGATTGGTTGCCCCCACGGGGCGGTCCTAAGGCCCATCCGGCATGAGTTGGTGCAGCGAGGGCGTGATTGGTATCCCAGCTCGCACCATATGACTGCTCCCCTCCATAATTTTCCCCTCTGCCATCCCGCACACCTCCATCTTCCCAATTTCTGCTTCCCTTGTGAGCTGGGACGACGCGGTGCTTGGAGGGAAGGGTTTCGGGGAGTACGGGAGATGACGCCGTCCTGGCGATAAAAGGCGCGTGCGGGTGTGCGGCTAGGGTTACCGCCCCCATTTCCTCACCTCTCCTTTGTCCTTAGCTTTGGTGAGCCCTCTCTCTCCGTCCCCATCGACCTCGGTTCATCGACCGAGTCGACCTCCTCCACTGGCTCCGTGCTGGTCCTCCGGTGGTCCGACGGTATATCTCACCTGCGTCACCCTCCCCTGCACTCCTGTGCGGCGATTTTGTTGATTCTTTGCAGATTTTGTTTGCCGTGCACCCAAGAACTTTAGGGTTCTTGATGTTATGTACTCAGATCTGTGCGATGGTACTGCTGATTTACATGTGTATACTTGTTATCCTCTTCTTACGCAGTTGGATCTGTGCGATGCACTCCTTTTTTCAACTGTACATATGTGGTCTTGCTTTAGATCTTGCACATGATGTTAGAGCAACCATTTTGATTCAAACTGAGCGAAGTGCCTAGGTCAATGATGTTAGATTTGTAGGCATTGGAGGAGCACCTTTTGGTGTGGCAGCCACGTCTTGCTTAAGATTGTCGGTCTGCAATTTTTGCTTGCTAATCAGTACACCCATAGTGCATCATATCTTTCTAATTTCCACTATTTCCTGTTGGTAGCCATGGATTTGCAAGCTAGGTGCCATGCTGCCACTACCATCGTAGTGGCAGTCGCTGCGTGGTTTTTCATGTGGTTTAGAAGAAGAGCTGAAGAAGCCCGGTCAGTGACTTATGGACCCATGGAAGATAGGGACCAACAAAGGATTAGCAACCTCAAATACATTTATGAATCTGATGATGTGCATTGTGTAAACCTGCTTAGAATGAAGAGGGCCCCTTTTTCCAATTATGTGACCTATTTTGAACTAGAGGCTTGGTTACTGACAGCATCCATGCATTTGTTGAGGAACAAGTAGTAATGTTCTTGCATGTTGTTGGTCACATTGAGAGGTTTAGGGTTGTGGACCTGACATTTAGAAGGCCAGGAGAGACAATCAGTAGGTTCTTCTAGAGGGTCTTGTATGTAGTAGGTGAATTGAGGAATGAGATGATTGTTCCCCCTACTACTAGTGTCCATCCTAGGATCCTTGGGAGCAGAAGGTGGTATCCTTACTTCAATGTTGGTGCCCAATTCATTTAACTTCATTACTTAGGCCATATGTTCGTGCCTATTTTTTCACTACCAACATTGTTTTCTTGATCTAGGATTGCATAGGAGTTATTGATGGGACACATATGTTAGCTAGAGTGCCTATGAAGATGCAACCTGCCTTTAGAGGCAGGAAGCACACCATTACTCAAAATGTCTTGGCAGCAGTGGACTTTGACCTCAGATTTACCTATGTTCTTGCTGGTTGGGAGGGATCTACACATGATGCTCTAATTCTGTCTGATGCTCTAGAAAGAGCTGATGGACTTAGAGTCCCACCAGGTATCCTACCATGAACACTAAACCTGTCTAGTTATAATTTGGGAAAGAAAAATACTAAAAATGTCCCTTTGTCCAACTTTTAGGAAAATTATATCTTGTTGATGCTGGATATGCAGTGAGGCCTAGGTTCCTGCAACCATATCGTGCCACAAGGTATCACTTAAGGGAGTTTGGTTTAAACAGACCACAAAACCAAAGGGAGCTCTTCAACCTAAGGCACTCCTCTCTTAGAGTTACAGTAGAGAGGGCTTTTGGTGCTTTGAAAAATAAGTTCAGGATCCTAACAACAAACCCTTCC